AAGAACAGGGAGTACTTGATCATATGTATTGGACTTTTCGCTATGGTGCTTACTTGAACTGATAATTTCTCCGGAAATACACGGACTTTCACTAGAAAACTCATCGACCATCTGTGTTGATTTGCATTAAACATTCCATCTTCCATGATCTAATCCTGCTTTTCCTCAATTAATACGACGGTTCCTTTTATTATTATATTATCACACTCATGGATAGGAAAGATTCTGGAAAGCGGGATGTTTTGAGTAACAGGGAGACACATATAAGACAAATGAATATTCACCGCTTTTCTCCGGCACCTTGGAGATGACAGAGACTACATTCAAGTTTCTAGTTGGTCTCGTGTGGTGAATCACATCTCGCACCGACCACGATGGCGCCTTTTAATTTTGACAGTTTACCAGCAGAAATAGTGATCGAAATAATTGAAACTGCACTAGGAAATCCAGGAGGAAGCTTTTGTAAGGTCGGCCATAACGGGATTTGGTCTCAGCCGAGGCCTGGTGGCCTCGATCTGATGCTACAGCAACCTTCACGCCCTCACACTCCTTTGGGAGATACTCTTCCCTTTCCGGATGGAAATCATAACATATGGGAGGAAGAATCTGATACTCATACGTCCGATGACGACGACCAAGAAGCGGTGGATTTCTATTCTACTGCGAAAACCTTGCGATTGTATGTCATCTATCCCGCCAGCCTCCCATATCTACTCGTAACTAATCGGAATCTCAGAGTTAATCATCGCTTCAGCCAAATTGTTACACCGATTTTCTATCGCGATATCAGTTTTCTCACGAAAATGAACAGCATTCCAAAGTTTAACAAAGTTATCCATAACACTCTCCTTCCCCATGTACAGCACATTCGTTCACTTTATATATATCCAAATGCAGAAGAAGTGGTCATGGCGGAAGGGCAGGATCAATGTATTGCTGAATTTCTACGGAATTGTCTCCATCTGCAATCCATCGGGTTCTATTTCACGAATACTGCTCATGATCATGATTGGGTCGCAATACAGCAAGCGGTACTCTTCTTGATGGAGCATGGAAGTCTGTCCTGTCTGGGCTTCTATTCCGAAACCGTCTTCGGTAGATGGGTTGAGTTCGAGTCATTCTCTGGAGTTGGAAAGCTAATAAAAATGCTTTCCGATTCGCAACTAGCTCGGGTCCAGCTGAAGCACTTGGACCTGGCCCTTGCATCCGTGCCCTTAAAGGCATATGACCGGATTCGGTCCAACTTTCCAAATATAGAGTCCCTAAATGTTAGGAATGGCTCTTATAAACTTCCTGGCCGAGTGTGGGTGCCTGAGGAAGCAAGCAAATGGGCATCCTATGGCCGATTGACAAGGTTGCAGTTTTACTGGTGTAGAAATCTCTATGCTCCCCACGTCCCGGGGCTCGTTAAACTCTTTCCAGCCCTCAGAGAGCTACTGGTGTCGTCATGCGGAGACCCATCGGATGAAGTTATGGGCCCGCTTCGCTGGGATTGGTATCTTGACCCCGAAGCACTCTGTAAAACCCATATTCCACTTGAATACTGCCATGTCGAGCATATGGATGATTGGGAAATCCGCGCATTAGGGGTCATACCAGCGAAGACATGGATCGTAACGACCATCAAGCCCCCTCACTTTTTACAAGAGCTATCGAACGACGATCACATCTTTCCAGGAATAACCCACCTCCAGATCGAAAGCGAAAGTTGGCCCACAGTTGAAAAGCCAGCATCTGTGATCACCCTCGAAGAATTATGCAAGAAAAGAGGTGTCAAACTTACGCGGGATGCAAAACCCGTACACAGGTGTATCTGTTGTTCTACGGAGTGGTATTGATCCTCTCTTTCAGACGGCAATGTCGGCCGCTACTCATCGTGTATTCTCGATAGACATACAATTAATAAATATTTTCGAGTCACATTTAATCCATGAGAGGGGAATGTTCCTCCGTAAGGCAAGTAGCAAAGTGGCAAGTAGCCAAGTGGTAATGTTGCACGTGAAGCGATTTCGACCCATTTAGAGCTCATCTCGATCTCCATGACCAAGTTACCAAATAAGGGCTAGAAGCACTCTGCTATCTCAGCAAAGGGCTCACAAAAGAATCAAAAATCGCCACTTCTCCATCCGGTGAAGGCTATCTTGCCTGAAATTACGATTTTGTCACATCTCTCCCATGCGGCAGCGCTGGGTTCGTGAGCGGCCGTTGCCCGGAGCTGGAGTTTTCCAAAACTCCAGCTCCCATCCTCTCCCAATCGGCCTCTAGGCTAGTAGGTGAGTAACTCACCGGAATGACGACGATAGAAACTTAATCACAACGCCCTCAAAGCTCGTCCATTATATTCTTGTATCATAATTTTTGTTATCGAGTTTGGTCGGACTTGCCTTTTGCTCCCAACCACAATGTCGTCGGTCAATTCTCTACCTATAGAGCTGTTCATTCCTATCATCACCGCTGTTCTGGACACTTCTTCTCGTGATGAATTTCCCAAAGTAGGCCATAACGCGGCCTGGAGGAAGCAAAAGCCGAGCCCGCTAGAAATAATGGCGATACAACATTCAAGACCTCATACTCCCGTAGAGGGTATACTCCCTTTTCCAGATGGGGTAGATAATGAAGCCAATAGTCAAGTGTCGATATCGACGTCCAGGGGGGATGATGCCAGGCGCCAATACTTTGCCACTGCTCAAAAGTTGCGATTGCAAGTCCATTTCTTCTTCTAGAAGTCGTCCATTTCTAACCACCTATCTAGGGTCAATCGTGCATTCAATCAAATCGCTACCGCCCTTTTGTTCCGAGACGTCAACCTTCTTTATGGAATTGAAAACATCCCAAAGGTTGAAAGGATACTGAAAGAGATGGTTTTACCTCACGCTAATCACATTCGCTCACTCTGGATCTATGCTGATACCACACATGAACACTTGATTGAAGAGTTGGATACATTCACCGCAAATCTCCTGCGCAGTTGCCCTAGGCTAGAATCTCTCGGCCTTTATTTTCACTGGAACATGATTGATCAAGAATGGTCAGAGGTACAAAATGCTATAATCCTTTCGATGGCAAAAGGAAACCTATCTCACTTGGGCTTTTATTCTGAGCAACTCCTCCAGGGTTGGGTAACTGGGCTAACCTTTTGGATAGTCCACAGGTTCATCGAAAGTGTCGCTCAATCAGAACGAGCTCGTAGTCATCTCAAGAGTTTGGATGTAGCTGGCGTCTCGGTCACTTTAGAGACTAGAGACCTCATCTGCTCCCGCTTCCCCAATCTCGAGTCGCTCACCATCC